GCGCGTGCGCGTGCGCGTGCGCGTGCGGGTGCGGGTGCGGGTGCGGGTGCGGGTGCGGGTGCGGGCGTGGGTGTGGGGGTGGGGGTGGGGGTGGGGGTGGGGGTGGGGGTGGGTGTGGGTGTGTGTGTGTGTGTGTGTGTGTGTGTGTGTGTGTGTGTGTGTGTGTGTGTGTGTGTGTGTGTGTGTGTGTGTGTGTGTGTGTGTGTGTGTGTGTGTGTGTGTGTGTGTGTTTGTGTGTGTGTGTGGGTGCGTGCGCGTGCGTGCGTGCGTGTGCGTGCGTGTGCGTGCGTGTGCGTGTGTGTGCGTGTGTGTGTGTGTGTGTGTGTGTGCGTGTGTGTGTGTGCGTGTGTGTGTGTGCGCGCGTGTGCGCGTGTGTGCGCGCGTGTGCGCGCGTGTGTGCGCGGGTGTGCGTGTGTGTGCGCGGGTGTGCGCGGGTGTGCGCGGGTGTGCGTGTGTGCGCGCGTGTGTGCGCGTGTGTGCGCGCGTATGCGCGCGTGCGCGCGTGTGCGCGCGAGCGCGCGCGTGCGCGCGGCGCGCTTGGGCGCGTGGCTCCGCGTGTGCGCGTGTGCGCGTGTGCGCGTGTGCGCGTGTGCGCGTGTGCGCGTGTGCGCGTGTGTGGGTGTGTGGGTGTGTGGGTGTGTGGGTGTGTGGGTGGGTGTGTGTGTGTGTGTGTGTGTGGGTGGGTGGGTGGGTGGGTGGGTGGGTGGGTGGGTGGGTGGGTGGGTGAGTGGGTGGGTGGGTGGGTGGGTGGGTGGGTAGCTGTGTGTGTGTGTGTTGTTTTTCAGGATACCGGTTTGCATTCTGGCTTGAAGGGCAGCCCCCTGTTTTTGGGCCCCCCTGTTTTGAAACATAACCAAAGGTGTGTATATATTATATATGTATGTGGATCATGCGAAGTTGGGAAGTGAAATCGCTCCGTCTGCTGCAAGCCGACATGTTTTTTTTCCTGGTGCATCTGAGACTGCTCCTTCCTGTTGGCAGGACCATGCTTCTGCAAGTAAGGAAAGGGCTTGGCCCTGCAAAACAGTCTGTGCGATGCTTGGTTCCAGCCCAAGCAAATCAGGGGGTAACTGATCTCGTTCTTTTGAGACGGCTCTTCCACAACCGAAGGTACGCTGAGGGCCAGTTCTCCCAGGCTCAGGGTGCCTTTCCAATGCGAAGCCACACCCTGTTTCTTGTTGAACTTTGTTGGAATCTGGGTGATTCCCCGTGTCACTCCAAATAGACCGTAGGCCCATGATATAGAGATGATGACTGATGCCATCCCAGACAGCAAAGGTAACTAGACAGTGCATCAGAAAATGTTTCTCCCTAGCATGCTCAACAACCGCTTGCCGAGGGCAGTTCTGTGCGGTTGGGTACGGCGGCTGAACAACATAAAACCAATCATCCGGAAGTAAACAAAACCATTCGCGGCAAGCAAAAATGTCATTCGGAGGCCCTGGAGTTTGCGGCGCAGCAGTCAGGCTATTTCGGCCAGTGCACCAAACTTGGCTGGACAATCACCGTTCTTCGATTCACCACATGAGTCATGGTTTAAAACATTTGCTTGCTCAAAAGCACATGGGAAAAGTGGGGAACTCTGGTTGTCATGGGAATTTCGTGAGTCCCCCCCTGTTCTTGTCAAATGAATCAATTACAAATCCTGCAATTTCGACCGGTTCTCTAAATGAAAATCCACATCAGAAAGTTGTGTTTGTTTTGGTTTTCCTTTCAATCAAATCGAGAATCCGAAACTTGCACCCCGACTATCCCTTTTAAGGGTACCCTCTCAAGTCAGGTTTCATGTTAGTGAAACCTAGGGGGTAGTTTTTTTCAAAACGTCCCTGCTGCCCCCACTGCCCCCGCTGCCCCCGCTGCCCCCGCTGCCCCCGCTCCCCCTATCTGGGGCTCCCCACGGAAGGTGCCTGGCCACTAAAGCTCGCGCCCGAGAAGTCGAAGCCGGGATGCTCCTCCTGGCGTCGACGTGTCGACGGGTTTCCTGGGTCTTTCCTTTGGAACTGGATGGCACTGGGAAGTGAGTCGTTGGTCTGGTGAAATGTTGGACATGTCAAACTGAAACCCTTGCAGGTGGATATAGTTTGACAGAACTGACCGAAGGATCAGAATCAAACTGAAACAAAAGGATGATGTGTGTATCTTTTGACAAAAACCAAAAGGATGAGGAAGTTGGACAAAAGCCTCCAATGTCTCGAGTCTCAAGTGAGCCCAGCATGGCTTCTCTTCACTTCGACTCTCCAGTTCGAAAGCGGATCGTTCTCTATTGTAAGGTGTCACGGAAAAGTATAAGAACTCTTGGGGTGTTGCTTGAGAAGAGCATGCAGCAATTGCTCAGGAAGCCTAGGATCCCTCGAGCTGCAGATTCTCCACACTTTGCATCGGGGTAGATTTGGTGAAGATCATAGCTGGCCAATATGTATCCAGTTGCCAAGCAGAAATTGTGAAATTGCCTCTTTCGGGCTTCACGAAAGCTATTCCTGGCAGGATGACAGTTGGTCGCTCGGTCTGTATTCACCACAATTCGCACAATTCGCACAATTCGCAGAAGCCCTAGTTCATATTTGGATATAGATGCGTCAAGTCCCGAACATGCCCAAAGGCAAACAAAACGGAAATGCTTGCTCTGCAAGTAATGATGCATTCATCCTTCAGGGACCCCAACTCCACAGATCACCATGGATCAACGCCAATTAGTGCATGTTGTGTTGTTGTTGTTGTTTTTGTTTGTTTGTTTTTTTTTTGTTTTTTTTTTTTTTTTTTTTTTTTTTTTTTTGTTTTTTTTTCGAAGGATGGTTTGCGTTTCAAAAAGGTAGCAAACGCGAAAAGCGGCTTTGTCTTTCCAGGGAGCTCCGCTGCCAAGAAGGTTGACTTACACCGACAAGCGCGCTCGTCCCTTCAATATCGAGCCGCTGCGCAAAATGATGGCGGAAACCTGCAAGCGCATTCTTCCTTCCAGGGATCCCCGGCTGCCTAAATTTTCAGCAAACACCGATAAAGGAGATCCAGCTGCCCAGTCAAGGTTGTTGAAGGAAGAAAGAAAGCAGCGTTCTTGCCCCATCTTTGTGCATCCAACAGGTTTGCCGTTTGCCTGTCTCGCAGAGACACGCTTACAAAAACAAACAAGCAGAGAAACTTTGAAGCCCCTTTGTGCTCAGCGCGACGCCAACACGCAACAAGAAGACCAGGCTCCTGGAAGCGCTCCAGCATAAGCTTCTTGTTCACCTCCTGCTCCGAGTACGTGTCCAGCTGCCCATGGCCTCACAGTCGTGGGCAGGGACCGAGTGGGCCGCCGCCCACCTAAAAGCACCTGGTGTATCCAAATATGACACAAAGGCCGAGAACAGCCAACATGTTCCAGTTTGCCCATGTGCAGGCATGAGTCATGCAACTCATGGACACACGTGCCTCCGAAGGTCAAGCCCAGCATCCACCAGGGTCACCAGTAAGTCGGACAGGACTGATCTATGACATGAGTCATGGGCCATTGGTCGTGATGTCAAGGAACACTTGCAATAGTTGTCTAAAATGTCCCTTACAAGGAGTTGATGACCATCCTAAGCAAAGCGTTGTCGTGACCATACTCACATGTATGAACATGATGCGGTGCCTCATTTGGCGGGTAAACTCCGCTGGCAAAGTATGGGAAGCATATGGTCAAGCATTGTCAAGAACCCTCCAAAAACACACTGCCAAAGCATTGCTGATATTGCCGCATTGCCCTAAACACCACTCTGCATGACCGAAGCCTTCCCACCCATGAAGTACAGTGCAGTGCCGCCATTCCGCTGCAAGATGTGAGGCTCAATTGGCCAGTAACGTGCCCAAGCATCCTGAGAGCATCCTCTCACAGCTGGGCGGTGGCCAAAGAAAGCATCCAAACAAACGTGTTGTCTTCAAGCCCTGACATGAGACTATCGACTCTGAGCTGCAGAAAGACTAAGTTACCGTATCTCAAGGTTTGGCCGTGAGAGCGTCTCGCCTGTTGCTGTCTCACGCTTCTTGTTGTGTGGCTATGGGCGCTCAAAGTTGTGCTGTACTCAACACTCATAGCAACTCCACGGGGCTGATAGTTATTGGAAGGCAACCAAACCTTGTCATAAGATGCTGGGCGTGTGTGTGCAATGCTTTGTTTGCAGGGATTGAATAAGCAAAACAAGCTTGTTTCAGCAGCTATTCATTCATAAACACAGAAACAGATGACAACAGCACCTACTGTACCGTGTGGACGGTGGGCACAACTGTTGAACCAGCCATTTGATTTAGATGGGTCCGCAACACTCGACCAAATGTTTGACCATCTCCCACATCTCCACGCCTTTCAGGGCGGCATGCCAGGTCTCACCCTGCGGGAAGTGTCAAAACAGACTGTCCAGTCCCCCTCCGCAGACAGAAAAACATATACAGAAATGTCCAGCCCGGTTGCTTTTGGGGGGCAGGTCCGCTTGGCAGGGCACATTTGCACGCAAGCTTCTGGCTGGGCCAGAACTGTTTACTCTGTCTTGGATTTCCCCATCTTCAATGGTGGGTCATTCCCTCTGCCAAATAAGAAACCTAGAGGAGGGTAGAATCAGCGTGTTGAAGCAGCCGCTCTCCCACCTCAAACCCAAGAGGACGCCTTGTGTGCCTTTTGCAGCTGGATGTGCAGCTCCCCATCCTGGCATAGCTTGGAGCCCCCTTGCAGGCTGTTGAAGCTGCTTCCATCCTTCCCAAATAGAGGAAACGAACCATGGAGAGTGTGGTCTGGGCCGTGCCGCCCTCCTTTCCAGTCAAGCTGACTCTGGTGAAGGTATGCTGGGGCATCTTACAACTGCTTCTCGATCTCGAAGCCGGACTTGGGGAAAGCACACAGAGGCAAAACTTCCAAGTATATATCCTCGTGATCAATCCAACGAGACGAACCGTCAATGTTGGTGAGGCTAGAGCCCAAAAACAGTTGCAGCCAAATTGTCTAAGGTCTCTGTGAAACCCAGGAGAGTAAGGGGCGAGCACGTCTTGGCTCAAGCAAGCTAGACTATGTTGCTGTTTGTGGCGTGTTCTTTTGCCTCAAAGTACACGAACGCTGTGGTGGACCAACTTCATGCATCGGGATCAGGCCGCTCAAGTTGCCGTCCTTTGCACTAACGCATCAGACCAGATGTACATGAACGCATCTTGTTGAGGGAACGCAATCACCTTGCTTGCTGTCAACTAGCTCAACGTCTTTTGCCATAAGACATGCCCAATCTCCCATAGGCCGATCCAGCGCCTCTATCATCCAAAAGGAACTGTCTGTTTCGACCTGGGAGCGTAGCCAGCGCTGTGAAAGTATCAGAATGTTAACATACTATGGGTCTACTGCCCTGGTTGCGGTTCTTGGCACATAACACGTGTTTGTAGTAAACAGTTCAATTCCACAGCAGCCGGTGCCGCTCCTGCTGCTGCTGCTGTCGGCGGCGGTGCTGCTGGTGGTGATGCTGGTGGTAGTGGTGGTGGCGGCGGCGGTGCTGTGCTGCTGCTGCTGCTGCTGCTGCTGCTGCTGCTGCTGGTAGCGGTGCTCGTGGTTCTGGGTGCTGGTGGTGCTGGTGCTGGTGCTGGTGCTGGTGCTGGTGCTGGTGCTGGTGCGGGTGCTGGTGCTAGTCCTGGTGGGAGAGGAAAAGGGAGTGAGGAGCGTGAGGAGGAGGAGGAGGAGGAGGAGGAGGAAAAGGAGGAGCAAAAGAATAGAAAAAAGAAAAACTAGAACGAAGTAAAGCACAAGCATGACTGTGCCCAAGTACTGAAGCTGTGTGCCTTCTCCCCGACAACCTCCTCAACTGTTGTGATGATGTAAGGTCCCCGCTGGCAGAAACACAACTAGCGTTGTCTTTGTGGCGCAGTTCAACTCTCTGGCAGCGACACGCACATCCTTGAGTCCGGGCAAGACCAAATGAATCCTCGTTCAGAAAGGGCGGGTTGCCCTTGATCCCCACTCGCAGGTGCCTAGGCCTCAGGCAAGGCACGCAAGGCGCTGCTTGGCTTGGCTGCTTGGCGTGGGGCACGTCTTTGGCGTTCTTGTGCAATTCCATATGAGTGGGGAAGTGTCAAAGGTGAACCTTCCAAACGCTTCGAACAATTGCTAGCCACAGCTCTCCAGGAGCTCATGGATCCATTGTTTTTTTTTTTGCGAAACCAAGACCTGACTTCCAATTTGCCAGATAGGGCTGTTCGCCTGATCCCCTTTTCTTAGCAAGAAGGCCAGCATGGATTTTCCTGCCATAACCCCGACATGCTGTGCTGGTGGTCATGTTTGGCGATGGCATTGGAACCTGTTTCTAGAATATGTGTCGTCATTGTCATTGCCATTTGAGCAGCTGGTCAACCCGCCCATGGCTGCAACTTCTTCGATGTTGTTGCCTCTCTCCCTGTTTGGGCTTTAGCATCTAGGGTAGTTGCTCTGTAGTGCTCAAATGAACTCAGGGTTGTCAATCCGGACGAATAAAGATGCGTACCCGAGACTCACGGGCTCGCAATTGTGCTTCCGTAACATTGCCAAGGGTCAGAAGTTGCGCTCGAGTTGTCTTAGTCTTTGAAAGACCATAGTTTGGGCTCATCGCCTGTGGCAATCTTGCACTTTGCCCGTTCCAACTCTGCCCGGCCCAGCCCTAGGTGCATCTCTATGAAAAGGCTCAAGCAACAATACACTGCAAAAATGAACTTTTCGAAAGTGCTGCGAGTCCATCAACCATTGCTTCTGAGTGCTGACCAGAGCCATGCTTTCGTAGAATCACAGGCCAAGCCCAATGACATTTGTCTCTCCATCTCAAGTGCGCGGTTTCAACCGGCCGAGTTCCACCGAGTGGACCACCGTCGCGTGTGGTTTGCTTTGCCCGACAAGCTGATAAACCGTGTGATTGATGCTGTGCTCAAAGCAAACGAGCTGGCTCATGTTAGGCTGGAGAGATCTCTGAAGAATATGTATTTCATCAAACAGCCTCAGGAAGGAGTGCAATCTGTCGATATCTGGAAAGCCACCCACACATGTTATGCTTGGTGAATCAGACGTGTCATCCGGGCAAGGCAATCACTTCAGCTGCCTCCTCACATCAGATCACCTGCGCAGGATGGCGGTCCGTACAGCCACGCGCAACATCTTTGGACGTGAAGGAGAGTCTCTCACAATGAACCTTTTTTGTCTCTTTTTTTCGGGCAACATACTTGATCATGGAACAGCCTCCAGATTGCGGACCTTGCAAATTGTTCTTTGCTTTGGGGAAGCCGCGGAACCTTCCATTGTTCAAACATGGGCTAACTGAGCAACTGCCGAACCCAGTCACTCAGCGACGCGTGCCTGGTGGTAGAACAGGAAGATGTCCTCGGCCGCCGACCAGAGGGAGCCCAGCACCCGCGAGGTGGTGTCCGGCTTGCCCTCCTGGGCCAATGGCCCCAAGCGGCTCGGGGTCTGGGGGTCTGTCTCTGATGGGTGAATCCAAGTGAAGCCAACCCTCAAAGAGACACCCATATTGAATGTCGCTGTTTCGACATCCTTGTATTTGTTTGTCTGGAATCCAATCCAGACTGGAAAATGAATCTGCTTTCAACAATTCTGAAGTCTCATTGGTCGTGCTTGCAAGAGTTGTGTCCTAGTGGTACGTAGCACATTGCTGGCACTTGTTCTTACACATGTGAATCAAAAGACGGAAAAGCATCTATTGAATTCAGGTCTGCGTTCCTCAACCACAAAGCCAGAAAGCCAGCGCAAGCCCTACGTTTGCACAACACACTGTGGTTTTCCCGCTAATGATTCAAGGCGTGCCGGCAGGTTCAGTATGCGGGTCAGTGGCTGTACCAGGATACCACCCGGACCAAGGATGCACCGGTGAAAGGGGCGAGTGCACTGATAAACGCAATAAAGATCACCTTCTGGCAGGCCCGACAAGGGTATGTAATTCATGATGATTGGTCTCACTTGCAATGACTACCTTACATGACTGTTGACAAGTCATACGAGCAAACCTGTAGACCAGCTAGGTTGTGCTTGCCAGCCGCTGAGCGAACACAAGCAGGACACAACTTGCCAATCACAAATAGGCACACCTGCCAACCTATGCCTGCGGATTGACACATCAGAAAGAAACCAGCGTTTTAACTCACACCCAGTTGGCATCCCTCCCTCAACCCGAGCCTCCGCAGCCTGGATGCGGAGAGCGGCTTCCTGGGCCAGCCGCAAAGGCGCGAACCTGGAGCTCAACGTTTCCAAAAACTGAACAATCCAACGTCCCACGGGCGCAACCAAAACCAAATGACATGTATTGACAGGGGATCAAAACGCCCCGTTGATGTTCAAAACACACATCTTGCTGTGAGCAGTTCCTGAACGACTGAATTTGAGACCAGGATAACTCGACTACTCAACTTGCTCAGCATGGTTCGGGTGCAAGTCTGGCATGTGGCTGAGCCCCGCTTGATTTCTGAAGCGCACACCAACAGCTTGAAAAGGATACAATCGGACACGCCTCAATGAACAAACAAAATGTTTGATCTTGCTGCTTTGACGCTTGAAGTCATGATCATGAGGATTGTTTACAGAACACATGTAATATCCGGTGTCTTGTTGAGTGTGCAGAGCATTCAGCTTGCATCTGGCCTTTCCTGGGCTGTGCGAGATTCTCTATATCAATAGTACTGCACACTCAACTCGTGCTAGAGCTATCATCCCCATCTGCACTCTGCATATCCGAAACCTGCAATACCCACCAACAAGTCACATGAAGGCCGCCTGAGCATGTGAACTACCACCGTTACAAGACCCCGTCGAACACCAGAATACATCAGTGGCAAATCCCTGCATCACCAGAAAGGTGGATTTTTAACAGAAGATTCAGACACAGAAGCTCATCCCACGGTTGAGAACTTTGCAGGCTGGCCAAACCCGAGTCATCACTCACTCGCAAGTCACCGCCACACCCCGCCAACCCACCCGCAGCCCCCGGCTTCCCGGCTCCCCATTTGAGTCAAGCAGCGCAGCTTGGCAGAGCTCGTGGGACACTGCCCAGCGCGGTGCAAAGCACGAGCACCGGAAGCCTGGGCATCGATTTCCGGGCGGCTTTCGAAGGGCTCGCTTGGAGACCGGGGGTTGAGAAGTTGAGACCGCTGCCTTTGAAACCGAAAGCGCTGTTTGGTCACAATCAACGATGAAGGTGTGCATACAAAAAGGAAAACGAGTGTGCCAATTTGCGCGCGAGTACGTCTTTTTGTGAGCCTTGAAAGCATGCATCCGGGAGCACATCACGCTACATTAGGACGTGACCCCGCAAAACTGGACTGCGGGCAGCTTGGCCTCAAACCCGCGCGGGATGCATCCACTACATAAGGACACACCCCTTGTCCATCTCAACGTCAACTCAGCGCTTGGAAGAAAGCGTGCGCGACAGCCAGTCCAGACCTTCGTACAAACCGTCACCTGTGGTCGCGCAAGCTGACTGAATGAACCACTGGCGGTGCCGCAATTGGTGAAGCCCAAGCTTCTCCGTGATCTCCGCTGCGGTCATCGCATTTGGCAGGTCCTGCTTGTTTGCGAAGACCAGCAGCACGGCGTCGCGCATCTCATCCTCATTCAGCATCTTGTTGAGTTCCTCACGGGCGTCCTCAATCCGATCCCGGTCGTTGCTGTCAACAACATAGATGAGACCGTTGGTGCCCTGATAGTAGTGGCGCCACAGGGGGCGGATCTTGTCCTGACCGCCCACATCCCACACAGTGAAGGACAAGTTCTTGTACTCCACAGTTTCGACGTTAAATCCAATTGTTGGGATCGTTGTGACTACCTCACCCAACTTCAGCTTGTACAGGATGGTGGTCTTACCTGCAGCATCTAGCCCAACCATGAGGATGCGCATCTCCTGCTTGCCGATCAGCCGCTGCCATATCTTTGTGAAAGCAAGACCCATAGCTTCGTGCCCGAGTTGACTATTTCACCTCAATCTGTCTTGAGCCAATTTGCGTGTGAGTATATGGAGTGGGTTATCAAGTACATGTCTCGTTTGCACTTTTGCCCTCTGTTTGAGCAAGGAAAGCCAGTGGCCTCCACTTCGAGCTTAGGCACAACACATTTAGATGCACACGGCACATTGAAAAGCCACCGGCGTCCATGCAAAAAAAGGTCACTCACATACCCAACTTGCTTGCTCAAACAGCAAAGGCAGCTCAAGCACATAGCAAGCATATGCACCACAAATTCTACACTAACATTTCAGGCTAGCATACACACCAAACGAATGCACTTTGACGGTACACTCCCTCCCACTAAAAAAAACAGCTGCGGGAAGGTACCCGGACCAGCTTCCTCTTCAACAAAATCACCTTGCTGGATGCCAAATGCCATGCTCGTGGGAAGGTTAAAAAATTGAAAAAGAAAAAGACGACCAGCCCCATCCATCGATCCAGGGCACCGTCCACCAGCAGCTCCCCCTCGCTCGTCAAAGGCGCAAAGGCGCCCTGCCAGCACAGGCTCGTCACCTTCAGCAGCTCCCTCGCCTCGCCCTTGAGCCGATCGGGCCGATGGCACTGGATTCAAACGAGAAAGCTGAAACCAGTCGACAATGTTGGTATCTGCATTCAATCGGATTCCCAGGAAGTATGAAAAGATGCAGAGGTTAGACTTGCTTGGAAGTAGGGCAGTTAGGACATGGGCTTCCCATCGCTTGAGGAGTTGCTGACCAAAACTTCCAGTCTTACAGACCTCTTGTGCTTCTAGGGTGCCTCTCCCTTTCCAGAAGGCAAAATTCACAACCCGTGTTGACAGACTGGGAGACAGTAAAAGTGTGGTGTATTTGCTGTCAGCTTGAGTGGCAACTGTGAAATTGCACATGTGTGGCAAGCTGTTTCTCACACTCCCTCCTCGGCTTCATTGCTTTGCCTATGCCACAGCAGCAGTATTTCAATGAGCAGACAGAGGAAACTGGATTCCCTGCTCCCATTCATGACCATCTCGACCTCTAAATGAGTTC